CAGTGAGACCCTGTCTCTCAATAAAATATAATTTTTTTTTTTTTTTTGGTATATGAAGGTAGATGAACAAGGAAAAAAATCAGATCTGGAAGTGAAATGCCAGAGAAAAATGAAAGGACATTGTGACTCAAATACTTCAAATACTTCCATTCTGCTGTCCACCTAAGGCGATGCTGGTCCTTCTTCCTCATGCTCTGTGGGGATGCTCAGCTCTGCTGCAGTGTTTGCAGGACGCCATCCATCTCACCACCTCACCTGCAGTCCAGCCAGGAGGAGGAGATGGAAGGAGGGAAGGGAAGGTGTTTTCCTTCCTTTACAAAGATCACTTGTAGCTTCTACTCACCTATGGCTAGCCACATCTCTCAGTGAGGAAGGCTGGCGTCTTAGTCCATTTGTGCTGCTATAACAAAATACCCGAGGGCTGGGGTTGTGGCTCAACAGTAGAGCGCTCACCTAGCACGTGGGAGGCCCTGGGTTCAATCCTCAGCACCACATAAAAATAAATAAATAAAGGTATTGTGTCCAACTTAAACAACAACAACAACAACAACAACAAAATACCAGAGACTGGGCAATTTATAAAGATTTATTTCTCACAGTTCTGGAGGCTGAGAAGTGTAAGAACAAGGTTCTGGCAGGTTCCATTGGCTGGTGAGGGCTCTCTACTTCCAAGCTGGTACCTTTATGCTGTGTCCTCTGGGGAGGACGGAGAGTGTCCCCACATAGTAGAAGACAGAAGGGCGAACTCTTTGAAAGATGCTTGGGGTCTCTACACAGGCCTTAATTCCTTGCAGAGGAGGGACCCACATGGCCTAGTCAGCTCCCAAGGCCCCGCCCATTCCTGCCCTCCAGGAGGCCATTACATCTCAACACCTGAGTTTTGGAGGGGACCAACCGTACCACTTGGTAAATGTAGATTAGTATCATTTTTCCTGGATGACCACGAACTAAGAAGGTAAAAGGGCTTTTTGGAACATCTGGGCACCACCCCATCTGTCCCTCCCCAACTGTCTGCTGCCTCATTCTGAAAGAGCAGGTCCCGCCCCCAAGCCACGCCCACTCGGCCCCGCCTCCGGCTGCCTGGAGACGCCCACCCCTGGGTGCGCCGCCCCTTCCGGCCCCACGAGCTTCTGGGGCCTCTGGGGTCCGCTGGAGAAGCGCGGAATATGGCACCGAGGACAGAACCAGGTTCAAATCACTGTGGCCGTGGGACCCAGGTCGGCTGCTCGGTGGCTCTGAGATGGGGCCATCCATCAAAAGGGAATCATGGTTTAATTTGGGGTAGGGCAAGGGTGGGAATCAGTAGGTAAAGACCGTGCTCGGTGAGTGGCAGTCCCTAGGGCCAGCCTCCCCTGCGGCCCGTCCTCAGCCGGGATCTGGTCACTCTCCCATGAAGACATCCTGGGGGGCCCCAGGTCCCGTCCTCAGGGTGGGCCGGTTCAACATCTGCAACTCCCTGGTGCTTTTCACCCATGTCCACCTTCCTGCTGGACTGATTTGTGGCGTCTCTGTCACGCTTGCCGTTCCTGGTAACCCCTCTGTTAAAGCAGGGGTGTTGGTGAACGCCAATTAGATTGAGGGTGGCTGAGCCAGACCCAGGAAGCGAATCAAACAGGCTCAGAGAAGCAGAGGCTCAGAAACAGGCACCCCAGAGCCTTGGGACTGGTGGCCACAGCTGGGTATCTGGCCTTTCCTTGAGGTCAAAGCCTTCGGTGGGTGAGACCAGCCTGGCAGGCAGACAGTGATGAGGACCTGGCCAGGAGACCTGGGAAGAAGGGGTCAGGTGCAGGGGAGGCCTAGCAGCATCTGGGTCAGGGTGCCAGCCACAGCGAGGGAGCCAGATGGTAGGAGGTACTCCCTGAATACTGGGGTCAGAAAGGAGGTGCTCCTGGTCGGAGGGAGGAGATAAGGGGAGAGGGCACGAGGCTGCAGAGAAAACCCCCTTTCCACCATTAGTCTGGCCCTGGTGGAATCAGGTTCAGATGCAGCATCTGTGGGAAAAAAACAGATATTAAAGGGGTAGTGTAGGGGACGAGGAGGTGACTTGTGCTTTTGGGTTGCACTGCTGAAGTCTGTCCACCAGAGGGCAGGAGAGACCCACACATGAGGCTGTGTTGTCCAGGAGGCTGGGCGGTCAGGTAGGACTGGGAAGGCAAAGTTAGGCCTGAGTCTTCCTGTTCTCCCCAAGAAAGACTCTGCACAGATGTTCCCAAGCCCCTGTGCCACACAGAGCACGGCAGAAGTGGTGGGACAGGGTTGCCCCAGGGCACCAGGAAGGACCCTGGTTCTGACTTCTAGTTCAGGCTGCCTCACTGCCCCCCTTGGCTTCACGGTTCAGCAGTGGGGATCACGGGTCCCCTCCCTTATGGCACTCTTGCGAGAGGACAGCTGGTCTGTGAGGGAAGTCACTCAACCTGGCCCCACCACATCCGAGGACCCTGCCAGTGGCCCTGTCTCTGCCACGGGGACCAATCAGACCCACCCCTGGAGGTATCTGAAGGACCTGCCTTCGCCTTCAGTGGTGGGCAGGAGTCTTGGGGTCGGCTCTGACTGGGCATCTCTCTGAGATTCCATTTCCTATTCCATGAAGTGGAAAATCGAAAACCGGCTGTTACCCAGGGCTGTTGGGAACCTGTGGTGACATCAGGGCATAAAGGTCCTTTTTATGAGGCAACTGACACAGACATGTGACGTTTTGGCATTGATCACCCCTGTCAGGCAGGTTCAGCGATGACGGGTGTGTATGTGTGAGTGTGTGTGTGTGTGTGTGTGTGTGTGTGTCCTACTCATCTTCCCACCCCCTGGGGTTGAGCACTGTTTGGCACATGGCGGGAGGTTGGGCCTGTAAACGAGGGAGTGAGCCACGGTGAGTCTGTGAATCTCAAAGCTGTCCAGGCCTGACCTGTCCCCAGCTGTGGTGCCCAGGGGTGGTGGGTCCCCAGCTGTGGTGCCCAGGGGTGGTGGGCAAAGACCCCAGTGCTCTCCACAAGGTGATGCCTCCTACTGGAAGCATTTCTAGGGTCTGACCAGCCCATTCCCCAGATGCCATAGTCTCACTGGCCTCATGGAAGCAGAGAGAGGTCAGGGTGGGAGATCTTGGCTGGCCCGGCAGGACCAGCGCTAGACTGAGCCCCCGAGCTGCAGGCTGAGGGTGGGGTTGGGAGCTGGGCCTCCTTTCCCTCGGGGGGCTCCCCTTTCCAGCTGGCAGGAGCAGTTGGTTGGTGCCCCTGCTTGGCTGCACATCGTATTTCCTGAGATTGCTCTCTAGCTCACAGGGTCTTGAGTTCCTTCACTTGTCTTTCTTCTTCCTGGAGAGCAGACGTGTGGGGGCGTTCAGAGGCTCCGAAGAGTCTCATTTCCGCACTAATAAATATTCCTCCTCTCTTCTCTAAGCATTAAAAAGAAAAAAAATCCAGAGGAAGCGCAAGTTGCCCATTTGTCACCTGCTCCCTGGTCCAGAGCAGCGGATGCACCGTGTTCTCCTGTGGCTGACTCTCAGGGAGGAGAGGCGGGCTCGCTTCTGCCCATCAGTGCAGTCCTGCCCTTGACCCTGGCATGGCTGCAGAGGAGGATGGCAGCACTTGACAGTGGTCAGGGCAGGGCTGGAGGAAACCAGACCAAACGAGGGAGGATGGGGCTGAAGAAGCCAGATAAAGGTCGGGGCAGTGGCCTGGGGATGATTTGGCCCTGGGGAGGAAGAGGAAGAGGTTCCATAAGAAAAGAGGAAGTCCAGCCCCTGGTGAGCCCAGAGGATCTGGCTGCCTTCATCTAAGGACCTCTGTCCTTCGTGGTGATGGCCATGCTGGTCACTTGCTGGGAAATGACAGAAGAACACATCCTGCAAGCAATCACCCAAACTAGCTTGCCACAGCGGGAGCCCAGTTGGGCATCCTAAGGGGGTCTGAGAGGCCTGTTTTCTAGGATCTGTCATCTCTGTGCATCTCAGTCGGCTCCAGAGGGCACAGGCCATTCTCTTTTAGATGGCACCTGCCCGTCACCAGGGGATGTGCTGGGTCTGGGGTGGGGGTGGAGGGAGCTCTCGTCAGGACAAGATCTCATAAGGTACAGGTTCTGGGGTGCATCTCACCAGCCTAGAAATGCCTGTTTCATGTCACATGTCAGGGTCCCGGACAAGGAGTCAGGCACTTGTGCTGTGTTCCTTCTGCATCTGACGGTGTGGCTGGGGATGAGGGGTGTCAATTTTTATCTGGACTTCTACACTCTCATCTGCAAATGGAAGAAGCCACACCTGCCCAGCCTCTCAGGTCCGTCCAGGTGAGGCGGGATGTCAGTGAGTGTGATCGCGCTTTGTTCTGTGTGAAGGTCGGTGCAGGTGGTGGGGTTATTCAGGTGAGCTGGGAGCTCCCTTCTCTGCTTTCCTCTTCTCCCACAGTCTTCCTGAGTGTGGCCTGTCCCACTGCCCCAGAGAGAGCTGTCAATGATATTTATTCCCCTTTGAAAAGTGGGTGGAGGAGGGGACCCTGCCCTTCTGGCCCGTTCTTTCTTACCTTTGACATCAGCTTGGAACATTCTGGGAGCTGCCAGCAGGGGGCAGTAGCACCTCATGCCTCGGTTCCTCCCTGGTGCTTCCAGGCCCCAGCTCTGGTCTGGGCCAGGGGGGCCACCACCGAGTGTGTATGGCGTGTGGCAGGCAGGTCGAGAGTGTCTTAATGACCTGTGCAGTGGGCGATGGATTAGCCACGGGCCTGATGTGGCAGGGCCACCCTGAGAAGCAGGCTGGCTCCATGTGCTGATTTCCTGGAGGAGCAGAGGTTGAAGGGGGGCTGTCCTGAGTGATGCTAAATAATCATGAGGTCCACGTCACCCGCCGGAGCTGCTTGGGTGGCACTCTGCTCTGTGGCTGCAGGGTCCTGGATAAGGCTGAGCTGAGTCGCGAGCTGGGGTTGGAGAGTGGGCAGGTGGATCCCACCTGGACGGGCGCTCCAGGCCCTCTGCTGAGCCCAGGTGGTCAGGGCTCCGGGTCCTGACCTGGGCCTCACCTGGTTCTCGCACAGCCCCCTCCATCGCGCTCAAGCTCCACTCTGGCAGATGCCTTGGCCCCGCTGGTCCGACTCCTGGAAGCCCTGCTACCGTGCTCTGCCTCTGTCCTTTCTGGAGAGATTTCTGGGACAGGACTAAGAGCCACTGAGTGGAGGTTGAAGGCGGGTTCGAGTTCCCACCCCAAGGGATGATTCCCTGGCTCCACATCCGGGGCCTCGCAGGGGGGTGTGGCAGGATGATTCTTACCACTGCAAAGGACTCAGCCCAGGGTTTCCAGCATCTTCTGACACGCGGAGGGGACAGTATGACCTGGATCTTAGGGTGCTCTATTGGGTTTGCCTGGAGGAATTTTGAAGGGGCAAGGGTCTCAAGGTAGGAGGTAGCTCGTTCTCCTCTCCCCTTCTGGAACAAGAGGCAGTCCTGTGTGGAGCCTTGCACATCACTCTGGTGTCCCAGGCGTGATGGCGAGCTCTCTCACAGGATTCCTCTCCCCTGAAGGCAGGGATTGAAACCATGTTTACTCAGACCTGAGAAATGCTCTATGTTGCAGAATATTCTGGCATGGGGGCGGTAGAGTGACTGAGACCCAGTACCACTGATACTAAGTCATTCATTCAGAAGCCTTCATCCCCTCACTCATTGGTTGAAGGTGTGTTCACACATTTATTGAGCACCTACTATGAACCAGGTTCTCTCTTTCTCTCTCTCTCATTTTGTTTGAGAGAGAGAGGAGGACTGACATCACATTTTGGGGCCCCATGAGTAATCTGGCTCCTCTCTTCCTAATGAGAATTGGCTATGGTTCTAGATGCGTGGCTAGACGGTGAGGGGAGAGCAGGACGGAGCCAGAGGACAGAAGAGTACTACTGGGGACAGCATGGTGGCATAGAGCAAGGATGAAGAGGACAGAGCCAGACGGGAGGGAAGGCAGATGGGGTGACAAGGCAGAAGGGACAGGTCAGACCTGGGAGAGGAAGGAAAAAGGGACAGGACACACATTGGAGAAATGGCAGTTGAAATACTGGGACATGACTAAGCTGGGGACAGGCCAGGAGGGGCCTGCAGAGAGGACCAGTCAGTTGCAGTCTGCAGGGAGGGACTGGAGAGTTTTTGGATTTGGCGTTGGCAGCCCTGAAGCAGGTCCCCAGAGACCTTGAGGTCACAGCTCTAGCTCCAGTGCCCTGCAGATGGTGACAGCAGCCTGTAGGTGGGTGGGTCTGTGGGTGTGTAGGTGTGGAGCGTCCCTGACCATGGGCCTGTGAGGACCTGGGCATAAAACAGTGAGGACTAGGCCCTGCGTTCAAGGAGTCCTGCTTGAGGGCTGGGGCAGAGGAGCAGAGGACTGTGGGCAATGGCTTTGGTCCTCCTTCTCTCCTGCTTTAGCTGAGCTCTCTCCAAGGCCACTAGCCAGGTCCTGGCAGCCAAGCGTCTGCCCTGGGATCCTCAGCCCCGCAGCATCTCCGCCTTTCTCTGCTCTAAGTTTCATGACATAATTGTTCTGTATTCCTTTCCCGAAATTCTACTGATTGACAGGAGCTGGAGGAACACAGGGCGGGGCATTAAAGACTCTTCATGACCCAGCTGGGCGTGGTGCACCCTGTAATCCCAGCTAAACAGCAGGCAGGAGCGGGAGGATTGCAAGTTCAAGGTCAGCCTGGGCAACTGGGTGAGACCCTGTTGCAAAACCAGAAAATGAAAAGGGCCGAGGCAGGGAGCTGGTGGTGCAGCACCCTGGGTTGGAGGGGAGAGAGAGAGAAGAGGAGGAGGAGCAGCGATTGGTGAAGGCCCAGGTGGCAGCTGTAGTCTGGTGGAGCCATGAGTAGTTCAGGGGAGCTGATAAGTACAGCAGGAATGCAGGTGTGCGCGGGCTGAGCGGAGGGATAACGGGCGGTTTCCACTCATCAGCCAGGCTGCTGCTGGCCACACGGATGGCCACGTGGATGGCCAAGCTTTCTGCTAAGAGACCAGCTCGTCTTCATCCAGGGGTCTGTCCCTGGGTTTTAGGAACCTGAGGACATGTCCAGGCCCACTGCTTCCACTCTCCTCTCCTGGGTTCTGTGATTTCCAACAGTCGCCCTGATCCACTCGCCCCTCCTGGCCTAGTCAGCCTGGTCCTTGTATGGCCCTGGTGGGGGGACACCAGCCCATCCCTCCTCTTTCTTGAGAGCAGCTAGTTTCTCAGTGCCTTTCCTCATAAAGCTCAAAGAAAATCCAGTGTTGTTTTTTTTTAACCTTTCCTCAGGCATCCTACTCGTTAATCCCTAATCATCTTTGCAATTTCTATCCTCTAAATCTTTTCCAGGTCTTGCTTCTCAAGTGAAACTTTAAATTGGACACATTAGGAGTTTGGGGACGTTAATGAAACGATTGCTTCTTGCTTTCCATATGTTTAAAAAAATCTTCCAACCCAGTAATGATAAAATATGAATGTTTTCTTACTCTTTTTTTCTTGTGTCGGGCTGTTTTCAGGGCTTCTTGTCTGTATTTCAATTTAATCTTCATAAAAATGACCCTATCTGACAGGCATTATTACCCTGTGGTAGGGGTGAGAAAAATTTGGCTCAGAGAAGTCAAGTAATTCCTCCAAAGCCACACAGCTGGTTTGGTGGTAGAAGTGAATTACACACCTCTAAGATGACTTTTTTTTTAAAAAATATTTTTTAGTTATTTATATGTGGTGCTGAGAATTTTTTAAAAGTCTTTTTTTTTTAAAGAGAGAGAGAGATAATTTTTTTAATATTTATTTTTTAGTTATCGGCGGACACAACATCTTTGTTTGTATGTGGTGCTGAGGATTGAACCCGGGCCGCACGCATGCCAGGCGAGCGTGCTACCGCTTGAGCCACATCCCCAGCCTGGTGCTGAGAATTGAACCCAGTGCCTCAGTGTGCTAGGCAAGCGCTCTACCACTAGGCTACAACCCCAGCCCTAAGTTGACTTTTGTAAATATAGAATTGTGTGTTAAGATCTTAGTAATTAATGCAGATATCATACACTGTGCTTTATATAACGCTTATATTTGCTTTCATGTGAAAATAGTATTATTTCTTTCTATGAACCTTGGAATAGAATTGGTGCTTTGGGCTGGGTGTGGTGAAGCACATCTGTAATCTCAGCGACTCAGGAGGCTGAGGCAGGAGGATTGCAAGTTCAAGGACAGCCTCAGCAACTTTAGACTCTGTCTCAAAATAAAAATAAACAGAATCAGGGAGGTGGCTCAATGGTAAAGTGCCCTTGGGTTCAATCCTCAGTTCCAGAATGCAAACACAAACAACACACACACACACACACACACACAGCAAAAAGACAAAAAGAAAGAAAAGGATTGATGAGTTGGGGAGACACCTCCCATCTCTGCTGTGGCCTGGCGTCCCCTGGCTGCTCTATGGAAACCCTTGGACACCCCTGGACTTCAAATACCCATCAGGAGAAAGTGTCTTGTGGCTCCTGATTTCTGAGCTCTGGCCTCACCAACGGCTCTGGGGCCTTGTTTATATCCTCTCCCTCAGTATCAGTCCCTCATCTTCTCAGGTGGGAATGACTGTTTCTTAAAATTGTTTTGAGGGTGCTGTGGAGTAATGGACAGGAAGTGATCCGCGGCTGCAGGGCGGGCGTTCGGGTCAGCATTTACATTTTGACATCAGGAAGCCATTTGACCCACACTGAGCTTTTGATTTTCTACGGCTCTCGATTTATTTTATTGCATTTCCACAGATTTATTTTGCCTAGAGTTTCTCTTCTGCTCAATCTCAATTTCCCAGGGTCCAGTGGAAGTTCACATTTCCCTGACTTGATTTCTTTGCCTGGTTAATAGAATTGCTCTTCAAGAGACGCGGAGAGCAGGGAAGCTGCAGTGTGGGTGTAGGTGTCCCTGCGCATGACAGCGGATGTGATCCAGGCCCGTGGCAGCCCCCAAAGTTGGAACTTGCATGCAGCATCCCCCGGATGAACATCAGTATCTTCTGAGCACCCAGTGAAGGATGGGTGCAGGGACACTGCGATGATCCAAGGTGATGCGACAGTCAGTGTAGGCCTGTGCAGTCCTGCTCCGAGCCAGAGACTGTCCTGGGCTGGAGAGAGACCAGTGAGCAAAGCAGACAGAGGCCCTTGCCCTTGCAGAGCCTGGACCCTAGTGCCTTGTGCACTAGATGTGTACAGAAGTAGACGTGTGAACGAGTGAACGTAGATTCCATGAAAGAGAGAAGTGGTTTGGAAAGAGGAGGGGGAGACTGGAAGAAGGGCACGGGGCCCTGGGCCTGTGGTGTGGCCCTCTCTGTGAGAGCCTCGCCAGGCAAGTGAGGTTTGCACAGGGACTCCTGCGAGTCCCCACCTGTTAGTCCACTGGGTGGGGAAAGGCTGGTCCTGGAGACAGAGGAAGGCCATGCACGTGGGATTCCGCCCGGCTGCAGAGGAACCCCAGAGTGGCCTGTGTTGCATGGAGGGAGGAGGAAGAACAACAGGGAGGGGATCAGAGGCAGGTGAGGGGAGGACTGGACCTATACAGAGCGCTCCAGGCTGCTCTAAGTGACCCGGAGCCTCTGCTGGGTTTGAGGTACAGACAAGCTGTGCTCTCACACCCCTCCCTCCTGACCGTCCCCTACGGCCCAGTATGAGTCCATCGCTGAGGCCAGTCTGTCAGGGGCCCAGGTGGTTCCCGAGTGGAGAGTCAGTTGAGCTGATGACCATGTCACTGGAGGGAAAAGGGATCCCTCCATGGCAGAAGCAGTGGCTGCCCATGGCCACCACCAGCAGCTGCAGGTGAAAATAGGAGCTAGATGCAAATAAGATCCAGGTGAAAGGCCGTGGCATTCAGGGGAAATGGGATTAAAGTTCACTTGGGGGATGTCATTTAATCTGGGACTTAGTTGATAGGACTTGGATAGGCACACATGGGAAAAGGGACATTGGACTTCCTGAAATAAGTGCAAAGTGTACACTCGGGTAGACAGGGCCACAGCTGGTCAAGTGTAAGGCAACAGGCGACCGTAAGTGGTTCACCTTTGCTGCACTGGGGAAGGTGCGAG